GGGAGGGGTCGTGTGGGCGTGCAGGGGCGGCGCCCAGGGCGCGTGTGGAGGGGTGTGTGCTCGATTGGGGTGCCCATTCGCGTATGTGCGCGTGTGAAGTGGGTGCGCGCGCGCGCGCGCGTTGCTTGCGTACGTTCGTGGGTAGAGATGAGGGCTGGGCTTCAGAAACGGGATGTTTTGAAAGGCTCCGAGCTCGGATGCTGACAGTGATGCTGAGATCCAAAATTGATCGTGCCGGCCCCCTCCCGTCGCCCCCCATATCCCTCCACTCACCGCCCCTCCACCCCTACGGCCTTTCACCGCCCCTGCACCTATGCTCCACCCACCCTCGAAAATCCACACGAGTGCGTGTGGCCCTCGCATATCCCAGCTCACCGCTATTTGCAGCAGCTCAGACAGCTCCTCTGCCGGCAAGTGTGACCCCCGCAGCTCCAGGGCCTTGGGGGGGGGGGGTCAGGGACGGAGCGCTCGTGGCTCAGCTGCACGCCTGGAAGGGCGGACAAGCTGAGGCCTAGGGACGGGCTGGTAGTTCTCTGCGGGCGCTCGCGCGGCGCAAAGCAGCGAGCCCAGGGCGCGAGGTGCAGCGGGGGTCCCACAGGACGTGAGGCGCGACCTGGCGGCCCCTCACGGATGCAGCTTTGCCGCATGCAAACCCAGGCATGCACGGTGCGGGCGCGCATAACGCTGCACAAGGTATGGGTCGTCCATACCTTCAGCAGTGTGCACACAACCACACACACCCACATGCACACGCACACACACTCACACACTCACACACACGCACACACAAATGCATTCACTTGTGCCCCCACCCTGCGCAGCTCGTCCAGCGTGATGGTCCCGCTGCCGTCCGTGTCCATTGAGTCAAACAGCTCATTGAGCCCCCTGATCTGGTCAGAGGGCAGGTGGGACGCGATGACCTGCGGCAGGGCGATGGGAGATGCGGCTCAAATCAGGCGGGAAGGGGCGGGGGCCGAGACGCTGAGTACGCCGTTCCGCGCATGCGGGTATGCGTGTGTGAAGAGGGCGGAAGAGGGGCTCCTGTTGGGGCAGGAGCATACAGGCTCTGGGAGTGCGAACGCAGCGCGGCATGCTGGGAGGCTGGGGGCACCGCAAGTGGGGGCGCAGCCACCCCCGGCGTGTCTGCGTTGAGCGCACCATAGCCGCGTGCTTCTTGAACTTGTTCATCCCGGCGAAGCTCTGTAGAGTGATTGTGCGGTGGGAGGGTTGCGTTGGTGTATTACTCAGCTGCACAATGGCAGTTGCTCGGGGCGACCCAACCATAGCGTGACAGGATGCGACGCGGAATGTGTTTGGGAAGTCAGGGCAGGGGTAAAGTGGCTCGTGTGATGACTGCAGACCGATGAGCACGTCTGAGTACGCCAGCAGGGTCCACAACCGATTGTCATCCTTCTGAGGGGAGGCACTTTCCAGCGCTCCTTCTTCCAGCCCACTCCCACCACACACATGCGGCCCTTGTTTTTGTCCACATGCGTGCAAGTGTGTATTTCAGGCGCGCTCCCCTCTCTCAGGCGCACCAAACACCAGTACAATCGAGTCAAACGCACCTTCATGCGGTGCAGGACCTCCTGCTGGATCACGTTGTCCCCCGCCACCCCGCCCTCCCTGATCCACTCGTGCTGCAGCATCTCCTTGGCGCTGGGCCGCAGCTCGGCGCGCCACGTCATCATCTGGCGGACCGCGTCCTTCGCCGCGGCGCTGATGGACGGCCACGGCTGCTCCCGCCTGTTGAAGATCAGATTTTGGGGGAGGGTGGGCCGCGGGAGGGTGTGTCAGGGGGGTTGGTTGCTGAGCGGGAGGCAGGTGGCGTGTGGGGCCCTGCTGGCGTGCGCTGAGGGTGGATGCGCCGGAGGAGCCCTGCGGGCGGGGCAGCAAGCAGGTGCCAGGCTGCGAGTTGTTGACCGCAAGGCCGGCACACGAGGGACTCTTGGGCACTGTAATGTCCTCAGACCTAGATTCCCCCCCCCAAAAAAATAGCGCAGAAACTGCCAAGCGAATCAACGGGTGCTTGCCGTCTTGCGGACTCACATGTTGGGAACGCCGTCCTCGACCACCATCCTGTGGGGTGGAGTGTGGCAAAGCATCGAGGGTTGACGCGCATTGGCGGGGTTAGCACGTCACCACGGGCCCCTGTGAACGCGAGCATTGTCAAGGGCACGCGCCTGCCGCAGTGCCCTAGCCCGCCCAGCCAACCGTCTGGTTGACGCGTCCCAGCCGACCCGCACCCGCCCGCCTGCCGCCATCCTCCCGCGTGCCCTGCGGCCTGCGGCCTTGATGGTCCCAAACGGAGCCTGCATGCAGGCAGCCTGCACCAGGCCTGACGCACGCCCTAGTGTGCAAATTTGCCTTGGGCCTACGCACAGACACTCGCAACCAAGCAAAAACGCCCTGTCGCTGGCTCCATCCCACCCGCAATCCTTAAACATCACACCAACCACACCCCGAGGTGACTCCCTCATAACCCAGGTCCAGGATCAGACGATCCCACATACGCCGCTGCGCTCCCTGCAAACTTTGAACGTGTTGCAATCCTCCCTCCCACAGGCACACACAGCCGCACGAACAGATAATTTCACACACATGATCACACACAAATAACCACATGCAAATCCACACACATAATCACTTACACACGCAGTTGCACACAAAATCATGCACACACAACTGTGCACACACACACGCACACACCTGAAGACGTCCTCGTCCTTGTGGGCGCAGAAGGGCGGCCGCCCGCTCAGCAGCACGTACAGCAGCACGCCGCATGACCACACGTCAGCGCGCTCGTCATAGGTCCCCATGATGACCTCCTGCACGGGCGAGTGGGTGACGTCACGTGATGTCACGTGACATCGAGTTTTGTCGGGGCGTGCGAGTCGCGAGCGAGTGCGTGCTGCAGCAGTGGAGGTAGGTGAGGGTTTGGGAGGGGGGGTGCGCATACACTTGTGCTGTGCGCCGCCGGGAGCAGGCGCGGCATTTTGCAGCGAGGCCGGGCACCGGCTGCGCCACGGGTTGCTTGACAGGCTTTCTGGCTGAAAACGGGTGTCACGGACGCGCGCGCCCCGACGCTGCTGGGGGCATCTGACGACCCTGAGTCGTCATCGTCCCATCCAGGGGCGACAGCAAAGGGTTGCGGCGTGCCGTTTGGAGCTGCCGGCTGCCTCCTATCTCCCTGTTCCATCCCCAGCCGGGCGTGGCGTGGGGTCCCACCGGAGCAACGTAGTAGCAGGTCCCTGCGAGCCCCTTCAGCTTCTGGCCCGGCTTGATGAACTGCAGGTAGGACACGAGAGTGCGCGGACGTGTATCAGATGAGAGGGATTGCATGTGAGCGCATGTTTGGGAAGATTGACATGGTGCAATACGCGTGCGTGCGCGTCAGTGGGGCGCGCTTGCTCAGCGATGGCTGCTGCGGCCTTCACGGGCAGCCAAGGCCCCGGGCTGTCCCAAGCGAGCAGCGCGGCGGGCTGCCATGTGATCACGGCTCTGCCACCAAAACAACCCGAACCCCTGATTCGCGTTGGCCCCTGAAACTGAGCTTGAGCTGGCCACCGGCTCACGCTGGCAAAGCCCCAGTCGCAGAGCTTGATGGGTGCGTTGTCCCGGGGGTCCGCCATCAGCAGATTGTCAGGCTGCGGTCGCAGGGGAGCCAGGGCGCAGGGGCGGGCGGGGCAGGTCGAGGCAGGGCGGGCAGCGAGCCGACCGCGGAGAGCCGGGTTGGCAACAGGGAGGGG